GACGGGTTTAATCGCAATGTAATTTCATTTGCCTGAGGGTCTTACCTTTATTCGTCAGAATGCATCCATTTGATGTCTGCAAGTATAGACGTGAACAGGTGAACTGAATAATGCATATATTGTAGGAGACACTAAATAGTCACTAAATTATTTTATTTGAGCAGTTCAAAATTATTAGTTCATAGTTTTTGAAAAATAATATACTATGATGATCGATAGTCTCGGGGGGAGGTTTCCGAAGAATTTGTTTCTTCATACTGTACTTCCATCATTGAAAATGTTATTTATTTCTAAAGGAAAAAAGGGGCGCCCCCCCCCCCCCCATCCGTGCCCAGTCCCATCCCTCTAGACTGGAACTTTGCTGGGATGAAATGGATCAACGATTTTCAGAAAGCGGCGAGATATTTGAAAAGATTCCAATATCCCCCGGAAAGGAATATAGTTTATGTTGTACAGTGTAGTAACATGATTGTGTAGACCCTGAATTTTTATTTCAAAATGTATGTGGGTGGTGGGAGGGGTGGGTTGCAGAGGGGGCACTCTCTCTGTTTCTCTATCTCTCTTTATCTCTCTCTTCTTCTCTCTTTGTGAACATGTTTTTTATGCTTTGCACTGGTATTCGTAATATATGGGAATTACAGGAGATAGTGACTACTCTTCTGGAGGGCAGCGAGTAAAAATGCAACAATTTCAAAAAGAGTCCACTTGATTATCTGAAGGTGACAAGCATCATGATCATGTATCGATTTTCCCAGAAATCTAGATCTAATTTTTCTAACCCAGATTTATTGTAGTATCATGAAGGCCAAGCATTCAGTGATTCTATTTCTCATCACAGTATTCAATACAGTATCAAATCAGTATACAGTATCATGTTGCGCCGTTTGAGTTCAGGGGCATGTGAAGGGCTGACATACTAAGCACGAAGGGAGGGGGAGGGGTAACTGTGATGGATATTATAGTATGGAGAAGATAGGAGGAAAATGGTATCCATTGTCTTAAGCTACGACTTGGTGAGCTTAATGAATCATTAAATATTCTTAAATAATGCATCACATTATAGTCTAAGAGGAATAGGTGTACTTGAATGATCAAGTTATTTGTATCCTAGAAAAATTTATAAAAAGCACCTGTTTCAGAAAACTCAAAGGAACATGAACATTTGTCATTATCAAGCGAATTGATGAAAGTCTACATGAGATTCATCTGAATTAGTTACTCTTTGAGAATAGATTTTAAAGATCAAGGAAATGGAGGTTGAGTTCCTTATAACCCACACTTTCTTGCCGGAATCAGATCTCTGACAAGAATTGTCAGTTTAGGGCAAGATCGAAAGTTGATGATTTTTTAGAGCAGCTGCTAGCAACACACCGGGCACCTGGCTTCACCTCCCCCCAGACCGCCCGGTAAGCCACACAGAGGATTGGAAGATACAGCAGTCGCGTCAATGCTACAGAATATTCGTAATCAAAAGTGGTATGATACATCGTTTCATTATTCTTCTGTGCTCTAGTTCTATGTAGGGCTCGAGCTGAATAAAAAAAAATCTCTGACATTCTGTTTAGTTCGTATTCAGAATGCCATCATGAATAATGATACAACAACAAACAAACAAACAAACAAACAAATCCTGTTTTAAACCTTCAGAAATGATTTTTAAGAATAATATCTTTCAAGAGCTCAACGCACCTGAACTACAATAATGTGCAGGTGCTAGACATATTCAAACAATAAAGATATACATTTATTGCAATGCTTATGTGTGATCTCACGAAGAATCGGCAGCCACCTAATTGTTTCGATTATTTCTCAATCATTCAAACCTGTCCAAAAAGAACCTGGGAAAACTGTAAACTTAAAGTAATCCAAATTAGAACTAATCTAATAGAAATCTATTACATTCGGACCCTATAATATGGAATCCACTGCCGTGACAGATTTTAAAAAGTATGAAGTCAAGGAAACCAATAAAAATCAATGAAGAAAATCATTCCTCCATCAGTGTATTTCCGCTTGACCAAGAGAGAAACCAAATCCTCATTTAAATGTAACATCTATTTCTTGTAAATATTATAACAGTTATTATCATTATTTCCAGCATCATCATCAGCAGCAGCAGCATCATTAGCATAATCATCAGTATTATCATTTATTATTGTTGGTATTAATATTTCATTATTATTATTATTATTTGTATTATTAGCAATATCATCTTCATCATCATCATCATCATCATCATCATTATCATCCCTATCATAATACAATCATCATTATTATTGATAATTAAGCTAAGCTAAGCTGTCACCGTGACCCTATAATAAGGACGTTGGCTCCACAAACATAATAAAACCATTTTTTTCCTATCTTGAGCAATTCTATATGCCTTCTGGAAGGTGCTGCCTACTATGATGTCACCTTCCCATCTCTATTATTGAGAATTAAAAAGAGTATAGCAAATAAACAAAATTAATGTCTCCCTTTCACTCTCTCTCTCTCTCTCTCTCGCTCTCTTCTCGCCATTCCTCTCCTCTTCCCCCGTCTATTGTCTCCTTTCTTCCGTTTGCATATAACTGTATCTCTTCCCTCGAGCTCACTTTTCTTGTTTGCAGGTACATTTTCGCGCTCAAATTTACATCAGACTGGGTATAAAAATCCATCGCGTTTTGGCAGCACCCCAGGGACTCGGTATCTGACCAGGCTAAACAAAAAATGAATATGAGAGAAAGGTGGACAAATATGAAATGAAGAAATGCATGCACCGAAGAATGAGGAAAGAAGAGAAATTGAGTGCGGATGTAAGTGTGTTTATGTGCGTGTGTGTGCGTGTGTGGGTTTGTAAGACGTGTGAAACGGGGATAATCATATGAATACATAACTTCCAAGTGGGGATACAAAGAAAAAGAATCTTTATAAAAACACCTCAAATTTCAATATCCCCAATGTCATAGTTTAAGATATCCCCAGTTGGCACGTTTTACCTGTATGCGTGTGTGTGTATGCAGGGAGAGAGAGAGAGAGAGAGAGGAGTAGAGAAAGAGAAAAGGGGGGGAGAGAGAGACACACACACACATACACACACAGAGGGAGAAAGAGGGAGAGAGAAGGAGAGACCAACGTTAAATTTAGACGATCTAAATGCTGCTGCTACTACGTCAGGAACAAATTCCTCATGCAAGCAATATCACTTTCCGTGTTCTTTAAAGATTAGTATAATATATTATATGCAGTTTGAAGACGTCCTGTACAATAGCAACACTGGAAAATCATACGCGATTGAGAATAGAAAAGAGAATAGGCGTGAAAGAAAGAGAAGGTAAAACCGGAGAGAAAGGAGAGAAAGAAGGGAGAAAAGGACAAGAGTGACATTGGTGGATGGTTGAGGTATTTAGGGGGTGGGAATCAATTTGTCTGCACAGCGAGGAGCTGTCACGGAGAGCCCAACTTCTTGTCAAGGCTCGAATTAAGAGCGCTCACCGGCCGTGATCGTGAAGAAAACGAGACCCGCGCACACATCCGGTATGGCCTTAAGGGGTGCTAGATCAACACATTGTCTTCATGCACCGGTCATGTTCAATTAGCATTATACGCTGCTAAAACATTTCAACCTTCCATAATTAGAAGTTGCCTTTCAAGAACACCTCATTTTCCTCACTTTTTCACCAAGCCCCTCACCCCTTGAATCCCGGTCTCCCTCGTCTTAATAGTTGGTGTACACTTAAATAGCCCGAAGCCTATAAATTCTTGTTAAACTGATTTTCTGGTGAACAAGTGGATAAATAGTCGAATCGCATGCTAAGAAAGTGCATCCGTCAAAGAATTGTTCAGATTTCATTGACGACTTTCATCCAATTATGTTATTTGAATAATCGTTTTCATCATTTCATTCATTCGTATTGTTTTTAATATTTTTAATATATTCAGATTTTGATGTAATATTTGAGTTTCATCTTATTTCATTATGCATGATTTATGGCCGTATGTTTTAGTCATTCATATTTTGACCGTTTATTGTGTTGTACATTGACTTTGTAAATTGAGCAATTTCAGCTTCCCAGCTGCATGTTCTTTCATTGCAATAAACCAAATCAAATCAAATCAAATTCATCCATCCATCCATCTATCCATCCATTCATTAATTCATTCATTATTTCCTTCCTTCACTCATTCGTTCATTCTTTCATTCATTCAGCTATTCACTTATCCATTCATTGAAATGAAACAAGTTCGAAACATCCTTTCATCAATAAAACACCAAATAAATCCATTACTTGACCGATCATATCAAAGCCATTACCATGCAATAGCAGAAAGTATAACTAATCTTTTCGGAATACTCTCACTTAACCCCATTTTTCTTATTTTCCTCGATATTTGCTTCCATTTTGCGTATTTTCTAAAATATCCTATTATTGATTATACGAATGAAACTGAATTATTATTTTTGTACATTGATTTCTTTATTATTTTTGTGTATTTGTTTTGCAAGTTCTTTCTAATTTTTACAAAAATGAAAAAGTGGTATTCAAGAGAGCATCTTTTGCTGACTTTTAGAAGGGTTTTATCTTTCATGAAGCTCTTGCAAGTATTATCATTGAACTATACCTATGGAATCGAAATTTAAAAAATTCAGGTTAAAACCCCTAAATTAGTCCACCGATCGTGCCGCTTCAGCTCTGATACAGTAGACGAATGTCTTCCCGTGAAATCTAATAAAATTATTTCAATCGTTTATCATTCAGAAGTTTTTTTTTCTCGTTTTTAATTCGGTTAAAGACTATTTCAAGAAGTTGTACAAAACGAAATTGACAACAAATCGATGGGCTATAAGTTAATGTAAGTATAACCTTCGTTCACTTTTATGAATAAATTATGGACGCACATAGCAATCAATTTATTCATATTCACACCACACTCCATCCATATATAAAAATTATATTTTTAAAATCCATATTTCAGGTGAATGAGGACAATAAATACATTTTCGATCACTCATTTATGAATTTGTTGACGTTTTCTTTTAATTTTCCAACGACTGAATTTTAGTTTTTGTCAATACAATATGTATACACAGATGAAAATATGCACGTCCTAAGAATCGAATGATAATCGGTTCAACGCATTTTCTTAACAGTTTGTATTTTTCTACTAGTTACAATTAAGCTGATCCTTTTAGTTTGGAGAAATACAACGGTATATCAATATGTACACATATAAATAAATGTCTACGCTTTTATTTCAAATGTCACTTTACTTGACTTGACTTTACTGTATGTACTGACGCTTAAAACAAATATAGTTAGCTACACTTATTGTTCACTCTTAATCTGTTCCTATATCCTCATCAGGGGCGTATCAAGCATAGATTAAAGACTGTGAATGCCCTGTCCCCGTTAAAACTCCAAAGAAGAAGACAAAAAAACCCTGGAAGAGTATTTATACGGCAGGCGAGCCTCCATAAACATTCCGCCCTCCTTCCTCTTATGTTTACTTTAGCACTATCTAGATCCATCCATTGCAATTACATCGTATTCCAGGTTATCATCCATTTAAAAGAAACTCACACAATTTTCAATATTGTCAATTATTGAATACATATTCATACAAGAATGAAGAAAAAAAAGCCGACTGAATACAAAATTGAAATGCTGTTTCATAAAAGAGCTTAAATTTCCTGGTGAAATAATTTTTTATTCTTAATAATTGTTGCCAATTCGCCATACAAGAGTCATTAACCGAAAAATTCTCTAATACATTCAAATTCATATTTATTTATGTTTCTGCCCATTGTGTTTTCGACCAAACTAACATCATTACAACCAAATATAACCACTAGTACTGTGTATGACAGTGTCTATACGAATCTGATATGAATACATTTGTCGTACGTGTAAGTCAGGCAAGCCTCGGGCAAGCTGATGTTCGTCCTGTTAAAGACAACAATGTCGGGTTAGAATTGAGCTTAAACTGTTGTTGAAATTTATCTAAAATATTAGTATTTCAATCAGAAGCGAAAGGTAATATCACACATTTCTATTATTATATAGACGCCCTGTACTGGTCAAAAATTTTATTCAAACAGGATTGTAGCTCACTAAAAAAAGAGTTTACTTATTAGTGCAAGAATCCTTATTATAAACCAATGCAAATGATCATGCTATCACTATCTCATTCATTTCATAATTAATTTCTGCCCCACAAGCATGACGCCCAGAAAACATATTCGCGAACTTATGTTTTAATGCTTGGTTCGTTCAATAAATTGTAATGAAATCAAATTGTTTATGCGTTAAGGAGTTGAGCGATGGTAATTGTCTTCTTTTTGTACAACATTTCAATTTTTCATCGACGCAAGATTATGAGAATCTATGATCCGTTTCCATGGATACGAATGTATTCTTGATGATTTCGTTATTCTTCATATGATTACAACATCGCTAATAGCCATCGTACAAATTAAATCCACATTTCATAAATCAAGTTCAATCAGGATACGTTTTAAAACAGCTAGACAAAACTGGCAAAATGGCGATGAGCAGAGAGAGAGAGAGAGAGAGAGAGGAATAGTCCACAGATGGCACAAAGCTTCAAAAAGTATGCGTAGTGTGAATGTTCTCCAACTTCCACTTGAAAGAAGCATCGAAATTTGGAGTTTCTTTCTTAACATACTTCTGCTTTTGAATAGTTCCATTATCTTTGAAGAAAATACCAACAGCATTAAATCCAGACGACACTCTCATTAAAGCAGTCAGAGTACTCGAAATGTTAGAAACGATGTCCGTCTAGATGTTCACTTCAAAAGCTCCCGACGTCAAGGAAACTATAGTCGTAGTCACTAAGGTAGGCCAAGTATGAAGAGTTAATTGCTTTTTCATTCCTGCTCATTTGTGTTCCAAAAGTATCATGATCATACATCTAAGAGCCGTTCTTTGAAGGAGTACATCTTCCCGAAAGTTCCGCGAATTTCAGCTGACATTGGTGGAGAGTTATTGAAGATCTCTGCGATGAAAGAAAAAAGAAGAAAGATAATGAAAAGAAATTAGTTTTAATCATATAGATACACTTTACAACATAGAAACCAACAAAGCAAATATGAATATTAGATAAATAGATAAGGCAATGTAAGTAAAGTAGATATAGGAATTCATGGTCTAATGGATGAAATGATGCGATCTCGAGGTCCTAACTATCATGTTTATAATCACACTTAAGTTAGGAAATCTATTTAACGTACATGTATAAGATGCTTCTTTAAGAGTATAACCATCAAAATATACTAATTTCAATTCATGCATAAGATTATCAAACTTACATACGGGTAAGGAGAATGCTTACTATTTCTACATTTTTCAATAAAGGTATATAAGAGTTTTTGTTATAATATGATAACATCATTGTTTCCAATCAGATATTACAACGAGTTCCTAAATATACAGTTAGCTAAATCATCATTTTGATACGAGTAAGAGTGTGTTAATTAAATACCAAACTGCTCGCAACAAAAAACTTAAAATTAATATCTTTCTTATCAATGTTATCATGTTACGAAATAAACAGTTATGTGAACAATTTTTTAAAGCACCAGGATCTTGCTATAACCCCATGGTTATATTTCTCCTTTTAAATAATGACGATTATGTAGTAGAAAATGATATATTTCAATATGTTATATTTTTTCTTCCTAATAACTTTTTACTTTATCATTTTGAACAACAAAAGCAGCAAGGAATGTGATAGATGTAAAATCTATGATCTGAAATTCTTATTAAAAATTTAACAATACAATTATTATCAAACATTGCTATTGTACTTCAACCATGAAAAACATAATTAAAAAAGTATTCACATTGTATCAAATGGCCTGAATAAGAATAAAGTTGGATAAATTCATAGGAGATTTTTTAATATTTTTATCGGGAACATTCTCTTTTTTTAAGTGAAGTTCAGAAGTCACGAGTATGGTCACATAACTTCAACATCAACTGGAAAGGGGCAATCACGTCATAATATGCGTGAATTCTCACTTGAATTACCACCGATTCGATTATTTAGATTAGATTGTTTAAAAGGAAACTATAAACGGAGATATTTAGAGAATAGGATCCGCGCAGAGAGGGAAAACGTAAGGTTTTCTTGCATGAGGCATTTTGATTTGTTGAGGCAACCTGTGTCATTGTGGCACTGAACCTTATAAAACAAATTAAATCTTGGGGAAACTGTTTAGCACTAAACGCTCCAAACATCCCATCTATTATCAAATAAAGCATGAATCACATCAGTGGATGTGGTCTTTTCTGTCTCTATGTCCAAGTTTATCGAGAAATACTTCGAGTCAATCGCACAATTTCGCGCATTTTCGAGCTACAAGCAAGTCAGCAACACTTTGATTCAGATGAACAAGATGTTAATCAAATCACAAATGCTCGTCCTTCGCTCTCCAACAAATAAACTCTTTCAGTCTTCCCAATGTATTCCTACATTTGATTCTAAAGGATATAACGGACCTTTGCGCTACGAGTGGGTTAAGCGATTTTTCAATATGCACTGCAAGAAGTTAAACAGTCAAAAGGTGTAACAATTGAATCATACATTTGCCTGATTTTTTGTGGAACTAATTTTCTAGAGAAAGCAAATGAACCCCATGTCGTATTTATTTGTCGCATGGTGGCCATTTTCACTATCAATGTACCACCCGACTTCGTTTACGCCAATTTCATTTCTCTTTTATGTACTTCTCCCCGTTCCCACAAAATATTGACTGTAATTGCTGCATTTTGACAGGTACAGTATAGATTTTGAAATGGTTATTACCATGAATTGCTTCTATTTCCATCTTTTAACGTTAGGTTATACTTTCCCCTTTAGAGACGTCAAATACCATCGGGGCCGTTCCTTCATTTTATCTTATTCGAAGCTATTGTATTAGGATAATATCCCCCAATATACAATTTATGGAATTTGATTAATCAAAATAAGGGGCAGTCATGGATATTTTTGAGAAAATTCACGAAGGACGTAGAAGAGAAAATGTATTACATTAGAGATATTTTACGAATTGAATTTTTCAATAGATTCTTGACAGACAAAACGTGGTTTGACATGAATAGTGAACAAGATGAATTCCTTCCACGAGTGCATTTAGTAACTTTCTTGATTTATATCCAGAGATATTCGAAACCAAAGATAAAAAGATGGAAAGGGGGAACGGCCTTACATCCGTGTTTCACCTGAACTCGTGACCTGCTTCTCCATGTTCTTTACCAAGAAAGTTTTCATTGTTTAACTAAATTTCAAATTTTGAAAATGATGCCAGTAGGAACAAGAAATTGATTCAGTTGAGATCTTAAAGAGATAATAATGGGATATTTCCTGTTGTACAATTCTTAGTGTTGACAATTCTACTAACGAAGCGAGAGTAGGTGTGTTAAGAAAAAGGATGAGGATAATAATGATGATGATGATGAAAATAATAATGATATTGATGATGATGATTTTAATAGTGATGATGATGATAATGATGAGGAAGATAATGATGATGATGATGATATTGATGATGATGATGATGATGATGAGAATAATGATGAGGATGATAACGATGATGATATTGATGAAAATGATGATGCTGATGATTGTTCATGATATGCGGCATGCGGCATGTGAGATCTTTCGACAAATCATGAATCACTGCTGTCCCCCGAAATGTTAAGATTACAGGCCCTTTTGTTCTCTGGCATGTATTTTCAACAAATTGTTGACAGATTTGGCGTACACTCTATTCGAAAATGGCTCTAACGACACCCCTGTATCATCACTATTATGGATGCTTACCATGGACTTCCTCCTCCGAAAGCACCGTTGGGTCTGGTGTTGTCTTTCCTCGGCCCTCCCATGATACCATTGAAGTGGCACTCTGCTGGTTGTTGGACACCAAAAGCCGCTGGGATCATTGCAGAGGTGTAGGGGTTCCAGAACGTGATTCCACGGGGATATGACGGGTATGCTAGCCTCATGGGAGGTAGCCCAGCATGTGTAACCGGTGGCTGAATCAGAGTCTTATCATGAGAAGCAGTAAGGGGAGAGAAAGCCGACTTGAGTCCTGCGGTACATACAGGGGTTGTAGACAAGTACGGGCGATGTGCAATGCAGGGTGGCTCGGCCACCGACGGTACGGTGGTTGCCGTCGTCGGGTACGTGACAGAGTCTGTGGTCAATGCCGTTGACGGCGTCGACGACGTTGACGAAGAAGCTGATACTTCGCGTTGGCAATTGAGAAGTTGTTCGATGGCCTGCACGACATCGCCGTCGCAGCCTTGGAGCATGAGTTCAAGAACGGCTCGCTTCTGCGTCGGGAACAACCGACAAAGTACTTCAATGGGCGGTCGCTGGCCCTTCCCACCGCCAAGTCCAGACTGTCCAGCGAAGCTCAAGCTCGACGCAAGGGCTGCGGCAGCTGACGCAGTGGTTGACGGCTGCTGTTGCATGAACCCAAGCCTCCTTGCCTCGCTATGCTCAAAGTCGAGTCCAGACCCTGGTTGAATCATACCAAACCCTGGTGTCCTGATGACTTCACTCTGCTCTGCGGACTCTATCCTAGGAGATGCCACCGGTGATAGTGACTTGGTAGGAGACATGGTGCCTGCACTGACGCTACGTGGACTCCTTGTGTCTGGTGATGAGACCCGAGGATCTTGATTAGGTAAGCTGGTTGGACTGTGGGGTGGGGCAGGGTTAGCTGACGGCGGACTGGCTGGAGCACGGATGATCTCTAGACGAGCTCTCTTCTGATCCGCACCACCTCCTGTACACACACAAAATATAAACAAAACATTTAATGAACTTTGTGAATAAGTACAGTTATTGTTTATTTTTAAACATAAACAAAACAAATGAAATTCTCATAATGCGGTGCTGATATATAATATATAAAATGATTCGATACAGTGTTGCGAAACCAGTCGGTGAGCTACTCGTTGTTGAAGTAAATATAGTTTTCGTTGATAGATTGTACTACGTCATTATAAATAAATTTCTTGCATCTTGTAGTAATCCTTTATCCTTTATCCTTATTTCTTCCCATAATACATCGACGATAACAATAAGTTCAATACATGAAAAGTTATTGTCAATATCTTAATAATATGAAAACATACGGTTTCACGAAAGCTGTAAGTGCCAGAGACGGTGTTGCTCTTCTCTTTTCAAATTTATTATGACGTTTTAGTGTTTCTATTGTGAAATGTAATTTTTAATTCTGTTATACTTCCTTCGGTATTTGAGCTAAAGTAGCCTCCAGGTTGGCAAAGACTTGAAACAAAGAGCTAGGACTTCATATAAACTGACAATTTCATACATTTGTTTTTACTTCAAACGCAGATATCCACAGGCGAAGCAAAAATCTAATTTCCATCGTTTGATAATTAGGTTATTCCTTGTCATGCTTGTCGGCCTGTTGGCTTTGGCTTGTAAATTGACGCTTCTTCAGACTCAATAGAAACACTGTCTTTTCTTCAATGTAATAAAATGCTGGAACTGTTTTGTTGTCAGTGAATGACTTTGTGATTTATGTATTTGCTTGTTTGGGTACGATGACAGAAGTTAAAATGTTACTATTCTCTACATTAATTTTGCATGAGTATGCTAAAGCTTTAAATATCAATGCAATCCGTAAATCGTGTTTGTAATATGAACAATATACGTGATATAAGGCTGCCTAAAACAGAGCGGAGAAATAACACAAATTGTAATCATTAAATAAAAAAATTAAAGCTTTTATCATTAGTCTATTGACAATTATGATGAATGACGATACTTAACAAAGCGGAGTGAAAAACGATTTCAATTAATACTCGGAATTCATGAAAAGCTGTTATGCCGACATCATTACCAACCTCTCGATAAGATTGCTCGGATTAGTAAAATAAAAAAAATGATGGATTCATTCAAGACATCTGTTAATGTTAAGTCAAGGTGGTCAATGTTAATTTGTACACAAAACTATTTTTCCATCAGCAAACAATTTACAAGTCGCCGTTAATATTAACATGAAGTCACTCAATGCATTCATCTCGAATAAAAATACGGGTGAGTACACATTGTATAGGAAAAGAATGAAAAGCAACTTCTTGGACGGACGGTCTTGTTTTCACTTAATTTCATCGTCATAGAAGACTCGTTTTTCATTGTAACATATTGATCATTGAAATGGATCTTGGTCGTACGAGCACGTGACAAGACAGAGAGCGGTATGTTTGAACCATGATGCCCGACATAAGGCTATGTCCTTTTTTGCTTACACATCAAAGAAGAAGGATTATACTTTCTTTGTGTACGAGCGTAAGCAATCTCTCCTATTTACGTGGGAAGCACACAGTCGCAACTGGAAGAGTTGATAAAGAAGTGAATGTTTCCCAGTGTTTTGACGGTTATTATTCCTCTGTTATGTGACATTGTTTGTTGATATCAAAATGTCGGCATCTCTTGGTTCTCTTGCCAGGCGTGTCTCGGGCGAAGTAGACCTAGCAGCTGTCGAGCCACTGCCTCATTGTCCATTTCACCCGGGGAGCTACGGGAGCCTTTCCGCTTAGGATGGTGGTACGCGGACGAGCACAGCACGACCGCCTAACCCTCTCACACCTATTTGTCATATTCTAGTCTAAATCCTTCTTTGACTTCCTATTTTTCCAGTTTGAAAAGCCTCTTTTTCTTACTATTCTTTTGATATATTTACTCTTACTATTCGAAGATATCAATAGACCTATAGTTAGGATGTTCGGAAGAAAATTGTAGCAAGTCTTAACAGATTTTATTCGGCATGTTTTAGTAAACTAGTAAAACCTTCTTGAAAAAGGAATGGATTATGCATTTTATTAATATTTTCGATCTCGACAAAATTATATGACAGGAGATCTCTGATTATATTTTTGTTTGTTTAACCTGACTGCTAAGAAAGCATGTGTATGCGGGGGACTTGGTAATGAGTAATAATGCTTTACCGAAGAGAACCAGCGCATCGACTTGGTTTCGAACCCCTCGGTTCGAAACCAAGTTAAAAGAAAGAAAAAAAAGTAACATATTTGTAAAATAATGTTCTAAATTTGTAAAATAACGTCCGGTTACGAGACCACTGTTCTACCACTGAGCCATGATTATTACAGATTTACAGTCGATTCACTTATATTATTTATAGATTTTATTATCCTGATAAATTAAGCTTTATTAATCATAAGCCTATAATTCTTCGTTCAATATATGAACGTAATAGGGAGTCTCTAGTTCAAACTTTTCAGTGGAAAAACAAAACAGTGAAATAAACTGACCTACTGTAATAATCACATGAGAAAAACGCCTTTTTTCAATTACGGAATATCAACGCTATTATAATTCAATTTGTCGTAACATAATCACGAGGAATATCAAATTGTCTCTATCATCAAAGACAATTCAAATACAACCATTAATATGAACGAACTTTCAAATCTGTTTCTCCGATAAAGTTGAAATAGTCTTTTGACAAACTTTTATGAGCACTATAATCTGCAAAGGGTTTGTATGTTTCTCGCTTTGTATGCACCCTGTCATACGACGACTCTAGACGTGTAAGAGGTACAGCCAGCCAGCGAAGAACAATCGTAATATTTTTCAATTTCTATTTCCCCCTTTTCTGCACTGACTGTCAGAAGCCAAATCACCGTGAAAACAACCCTTTCTCGAAAATGAAATGGGGAAGAGAATATGTGTCATCTTGAATCGAATACAATAATTGAAAATTGAATTGAGGACGTGCGAAGTTCACAATGTGTAAAATGTGAAACTGTGCTATAAGAGTCTGATTCATACAATATGGCACGCATCAGTTATCTTCCCATCTCCCCCTTTATTTTCTTCAATATCATATTGAGGTCCTTATTCAGTTTTTAAAGATCACGAGTTCACTAAAAGGGGGCCAGGCGCCACTTAACCAAATTCACATCAGCATTCATACGCAAGTTTGGTAACAAAGCCATTATGCCAGAACAAATATCAACTAACAAACTTGATTTTCCGGTATATTATATGGAAAACAGAATCATGTGAGTTGTAAATCTGAAATTCACATGATTTCGATTAAAAAAATATGTATCAGTACTATTAACTCCAATTTATTGTTATTTGTGATTATTTTCATTTTTTATTATTGAAAAGAGTCGGCAGACGTCTGAATGTTAACATTTTGTTTTTCATTTTTATATGAGGCCTATATTTGTTTTTAACATTAAGTATGATCATGCATACGGATTTGATTTTGTTTGATTACAGAATAGTTATCGAACGGAATTATTAATGAGAATACAAATTGAGACTCCAGTTTCATTTCTTATTCGCTGATGGGATACGTTATTTTTTACACTGTCGGAGAGACAGAGAGAAAAGGTGTATGTGCGTGTGCTTGTGTGCGTGTGTGAAAGAGAGAAACAGCGAGATGGGATAGAGAGAGAGAGAGAGAGAGAGGGTGTAATTGTGTGCGTGCGTGTGTGTGTGCGTGCGTGAGAGTGTGCGTGATACATATATATATATATATATATATATATATATATATATATAGGGAGAGAGAAAGAGAGAGAGAGAGAGAAACACAGAGATGGAAGAGAGAGAGGGTGTAATTGTGTGTGTATGTGTGTGTGAGAGAGAGTGTGTGAGATATATATATATATATAGAGAGAGAGAGAGAGAGAGAGAGAGAGAGAGAGAGAGAGAGAGAGAAAGAAAGAAAGAAAAGAAAGAGAAAGAAAGAGAAAGAAAGAGAAAGAAAGAGAAAGAAAGAGAAAGAAAGAGAAAGAAAGAAAGAAAGAAACAATCAAGATGTAGAAACAAGATGCTGCTCGTCTGATTGATTGATTTGATATACACCGATATGCGGGTTAAAATATTTGAAAAACATTGGAATTGTCTAGAAACGAAAAAGCATGCATGCCGGTGTTAGATTTTATGGATGTATATAACTGACGACCGAACGACAAGGCGGGAAAAGATAATGGATTTCGTCCTTGGTCGAACACATCACGGATCATCACCTATGAGACTGCACCAAACGGATAGTTATGAATCAATAAATTAAAAAAATGAAATCCTCTTGTCAGCTGACCAGTGACGGTGGGAAGCCGAAATATTTTAAAGGATTTTCAGAGATTTTGTTCAGAGGGATTTGACAGGTTTAGTGTTTGTGGTCATTCTGGTCGAGGCAGGGATTCTGGAGGTCAAGTTCCATCTTGTATTTTCAGGTTTTTCCTTTCCTTCATGACGAGGAGTGAAGAAAGGTGTGAAAAGAGAACGAGCCTCGACCTAATAAGACTACAACCAAGATGCCAATCTAGACAAGTGAAGATAGCTAGCTATCAGTGCCATCATAACTCACCATGTCACCTCCTCTGTAATCTAATCAATTGACTTAAATGCGATTTAATCCTCTCCCATATATCGATATGACGTGCAATAGGAAAAATCACTCGCCCTTCTTCAAATTGGCAAGTACGCGTAATGTGAGGTAGACGTACATGGCGGATTCGTTGAGGTGAAGTGATCAAATGTGTCGTATTAACATCCCCCTAAAAACGACTCTTCGCAGAGATTTTCTAAACGCATCACTCAAATTGTGTTAAATGGATCAGTTTCTATATTGTGGAAGAAGATTTCGAGAAAAGGGAGTGTAAAAGCGCGGGAGAGAAACGAAGGTGTTGATACTTAACTGCTCCCAGCGGACGGCGGTTCGCTTCTACGCCGACCCGACGCCGCTATCTGAATACCGAGGGACCCGTCTTTGAA